ATGGATGGATGGATGGATGGATGGATGGATGGATGGATGGATGGATGGATGGATGGATGGATGGATGGATGGATGGATGGATGGATGGATGGTGTCTGGGTTTCTCAAAGTCTTTGACGGGGTTTTCTTTGAATATCTGGTGTCTTTTTTTACTTGTACAGTACTTGTAAACAGCAATTCATTCTTGAAATAAATACTGGAGTAGAAAAAGGTGAGTCTGACCTCTACGAGGGCCTGCAGCAGACGCTGAGTGAGAGGACCAAAGGGACACCCGTCTTCTGGTGATTCATGCTGGGATTCTGACTTTTTCAGCAGCGAGTCCACGTCTGCACAGAACATAAAGATGAGAARTTAAATGGCTCCATGTAGCAACGTTAGCCTGTCCTGGTAAAAACAAAGGAGTGTTAAGTCTCCACCTTTCGCATCCAGTTCTGACAGCGGTCCTCCCATCAGGCTCTTCTTCTTGTCGTTGGCTCGTACTCCTTCCCTCTGCTCCTCCAGCARGTCCTCTTGAGCCCAACGCTGTGAGTAACGTTTCCCCAACGCCGGGATCTGCAGGACAGACAGTCAGCCCTGAAGCTCAGCGCGCCTTCATACGTCACACATCTTACTCAGCATCAGCTGCAGACAAGGAGGTCCTACAGAACAACTGGAGTGCGTAAAGACCACGTGACCAYGTGATCGGCTGGTGAAGCTAACGGCTAATGCTAAACGGGCAAGAGTCTGGATTTACCTTCACTGTACATGTTGGCAACAGAGCAGRAAAAAAGGACTGATGATGTAAAAATCATAAAAACTATTATAACACAATTATTATTACTAGTTTACAGTTTATACAATCTATCTAATGTTTTAAATAACGTCAGAAAAGCTGTTTGTTATGGATTTAGTAACAGAAGATAAACAGGAAAACCGTCTCATTTTACAACACAAGTCAGCAGATTTGATCTTATTTAGCTCAATGTGATCTGAGCAGAACATGATGTAACAGTTTAAAATTAAAATAATCTTATAAAGTCCATGTAATCACTGTTATTTATTGAACTGGTTAGCAGATATTAGCTTGTAGAGCATTTATACAGAGTTTAGCTCTGTTGACTCATGCTACAATTTAACACAAACTATTAAATATTACTTTGTCCTCTGATTAATATTTAGACCTACAGAGTGTAAAATAATATTATAAATGTCTGATTAATATTTAGACCTACACAGTGTAAAATAATATTATAAATGTGAGTATTTTTAGGTTTCTGTTAGAGGAACCTGACTTGTTAAGAAGATGTTAGCTAATAGAGACAAGTTTCATCCTATAACCAGAGAACATTTTCTAACTGTTGACTGGTAAATATAAATATACTTATTTTATATGACAGTGAGAAGAAATAATAAATATACTTTCTTACTAGCTGAAGTCATCATTTTTCCAACTAGCTAAAGTCTAAGTTACAGGCTGACTTCAGGTCTGGTTTAGATCATTGTTACTTATAAATTATATATTTTTCTGGTATAAATCTGCTGTTTTACATGATTGTTGAATGAAATTAACATAATTATTAATTTATTGTAAAAACATGACAGATAATCTGTGAAACAGATCCAGTTCAGCTGCTGTTTATCTATTAGTTTCTATGGAGGCTGTGAGCTGTTGCTCTTTTAGGATGCCATTTTTGCTCCTCCATGCTGTCACAGACCAGTGTACAGTATGGGCGGGACTCAGACTAGTGATATTTAAGTCTATGGCTACAGACAAGAAACGTGGGCGRTGCCTCGGATAAAAGAGATAGATTTTTATGTCATACTTTGAAATACTCAGCCTCGTCCTCTGGAGGTTTCAGAAGCTCCTCCAGTAGCCGGATCTCTTCGTTTGTGATATCAGCACAGTACGGCTCCACTGACGCCCAGAACCTGAGTGTTATTTTAAARATGAGGATAAATCACAACGAAGGGCACTTTTACAGCACGTCTTTGAACAACCTCACTGTCATTTTGACGAGGCATCATTTGATTACAGAAAAACTGATGTAATTATTTAATACATATAACCAAACAGAGTTAATATACTGCTGACCTGTTGGGAGCATCATTTTTAGGAGCGCGGGGAATATCTTGTGGATCATCTGGAAAGTCATACTCTTGTACTTTGGGCTGTATGAGTTTAGATTTGGGTCTTCCGGGACCCGGACCCGGTCCTCCCTTGCTGTCCTGTTTTTGCTTCTTTGTTTTGTGGCGGGATGGGGCTGCAGGGTCTGGGTCCTTACCCAGAACGCGCTTGTCTCCCTTCTTGTCCTGCCAGTCTGTGAGGATCTGAGATTCATCACAGGAGAAAAACAAAGAGACTTTTATTGAATTGTATTCAGGATTGACATTTGAGTCATCCTACAGTGGGGTCTTTGACCCCGACCTGTCTCTGCTCCTCCAGGGCTCGGAGGCGGCGGCTGGCGGAGGACAGCAGAGTCTCCAGCTCCAGCTGCAGGGTGTCCAGCTCCTCTATGCCGATGCCATCGTCCTCTGAGCGGCCCAGCACAGCCGTGTACCGGGGACACAACTTCACATGCTCCACAGGCTTGAAGTCGTAGTATTTCAGCGGAGGGCAGTCCTTCAGCTCACTCATGGTGTGGTGTGGTGGGCTGTCAGTGCCWGGTCAATCTAACCCAATCACATGAGTTATACTGCTGGTTAGAGACCACAAACTGGAGTTTGGCTCTAAGTTTCTCATCAATAACCCAAAGCACGTACAGACACACACAGACACACACAGACACACACAGCAGTGCTTCATTCAGCTTCGGGCCCAAACGGTCTCGAATAACGTTTACATGATTTACCCGCTGTTTTAGTACTGACAAAACTCTCACACATATCATACACGAATTTTTTATGTTTGTTATTGCACACTGGAACCACACAAATATGATTTTTCACGTTTAAGAGCGGCGATATTTACCGTCAGAGAAAAGTGTCCATGATGGGAGAAACCATTGCGATGAGAGGGGCGCGTAAAATGTATTTAAAATAAACGTGTGCCTTTCTAAAACTGAATAAAAACATTCAATACGTATTTCATTTATCTGGAAGTCGCTGAATAAATTAACCAATTTGAAATAACTGGGTTAAATTAGATAAATTTCAGCCATAACAGCCACCCGGACTAGATTGGTATCATCAGAACAAACCATTTCCTGTCAAGGCGCAACTACATAAATACTTTTACACTAAATCTGCAAATTGATAATAAATATCTATTTTGTACAATACAAAATAGTTATTTATTGTGTTTAAGGTACATAAAAAGTTTTAAATATCAAAATAATCAATGACAAAACAGCCATAAATAACGTGCATTCCCCCGCAGTTGAGCTAAGTGGTTGCGCCAAACCGTGTGCTCGTTTTATTAAAAAGTCTTCTCCGGTTGGGCGGAGTAATATCCGAACATAGCAAAACAGCGTCAAGAACAAGCGGAGAGTCACGTTAACAAACGCACCCTAGCTTTACATTACTATGAAGGATTTACGGAAGCGTCGTCCCAGGCGTGGCTGAACAACTTCCTCCTTCTACAGCTGAAAAATGGTAAGTCTCCTGCACTACATGAATTGTTGTATTTGWATTATTTAGATGTTTACGTTAATTAACCATAGTCTCACTCAGTTGTAAGTGTGCTAGCTAGCCTTTGTTGTGTGGTGGTGACACTGGTTTTGGTTGGTTTCAGTGGGATGAGAGAACGGGCATCCTTCACTCGGTATAATGCAGAGACTAGTCTGATTTTAGCTGAGCTGGTTTTCCTCTCGGGCCTTTTCTTCTTTATTGTCACAGGTGGCTATCTCAAAACGGACACGTTTGGACTGAAAAGCATCTTAATATTTAAAATGAGGCGCAGTGTACCTTTATTTTTATGAAAGGAATATAAAAATAAACCTCGGATGAGCTGCTTTCATACTGCTGGAAACTAAATTAAATAATACAAACCAAAATCAACACGTGGATGAAATTCTAATTGTTAATACTGCTTCAATGACAGATTATTGCCTTGTTTAAAATTATTTATAAACAGATTATTTTTGATGTTTGCATCCATGCCCATATTTGTCGCCTGTCAAACCTGACCTCAGGGGGTCAGACTCACTCAGCTGGTTGCTTTTATTTGTGTTTACTCTGATCTGTACGTGTTGCATCACAATCACAGATCTTCCCTCTGTTCCTCCTCAGACAGCCACTCTGCGCCCCTACTTGAATGCTGTGAGGGCCACCCTGCAGGCGGCCCTCTGCCTGGAGAACTTCTCCTCTCAGGTGGTGGAGCGCCACAACAAGCCGGAGGTGGAGGTCCGGTATGTTTATATCTACACTGGATCTTTTTTTTTTCTTTCTTCTCCTTCCTCCTCCTATGTATTTCTCCTGCCCTTAAGCTTTTCTGTGGATCATCTGCAGCTGTCACACAAGTATGGGCTTGTGCCGACTTGTGTAAGAAAGTATGGGAGGGCTAGAAGAAGAAAAAAAACATGACACAAGCATGGGCAAGGCTCTGAGTGTGGCTGAAAACTGTTTGTTGTTACAGGAGCAGTAAGGAGCTGCTGCTCCAGCCTGTGGTGATCAGCCGCAACGAGAAGGAAAAGGTTCTCATCGAGGGCTCCATCAACTCCGTCAGAGTCAGCATCGCTGTCAAGCAGGTCCTTAAAGCACCTTGAACTGCCTATAAATATATAAGTTCTCATTTAAAATAACGTTAAAAAGGTTTCTGCTCCGACCGATCACAGGCTGATGAGATCGAGAAGATCCTTTGCCACAAATTCATGCGGTTCATGATGATGAGAGCGGAGAACTTCTTCATTCTGAGGAGGAAACCAGTGGAGGTAAAGTGGGGGGAGCAGGGTGGTTGAAGTGAAATAAAGTCACCTGTGTATTTGTATTTTATTTTTTTGGCGAACGTCCTGACACCGGTTTCCCTCGTGTTCGCACAGGGCTATGATATTAGCTTCCTCATCACCAACTTTCACACGGAGCAGATGTACAAACACAAGCTGGTGGACTTCGTCATCCACTTCATGGAGGAGATCGACAAGGAGATAAGCGAGATGAAACTGTCCGTCAACGCCAGGGCCCGTATCGTTGCCGAGGAGTTCCTCAAGAACGTAAGACGTCGGTTTCCGTTCGCCGCCAAGCTGCGACACAAACCGCGTTGTTTTAAATACATCCGTTCTGTCCTCACAGTTCTAATGGCAGCGCCGTCCTCGGGTCTCCTGCAGCCCTTGGACGCTCTCGAGGACCAATCGGCACGCGCGCAGAGGACTAGAGGAGAAAACACCCGGTGGACTTGGAGGCGAGAGGGATGGGACCAGTTTGACAGCCCTTTGTGCCCGTCCCAAGTATCTCCCTGTACTCGTGGAAATCAATGCCTGTATATAATGGAATAGTAGCCAGTTTCATTTTCAGCCACTCGGAACAAATCCCCAAACAAAGGCGGGTCCTTAAAGTATTAATCAAGTTGATAGCCATGAATACAGGGGGCGCTGGGGGACGTGCCGCCGCAAATACAAGGGCCAGGTTTTTCTATTGTTTAGGTTTGACTCTATGTTCCCTCACTGTTGTTTCAAACTTTGTCTGTTCAGGACATAAATATCTGAGGAGGTGATCTGTGTGGCATCTCAATCAGATGGAGATGTCTCTAAATCCGTGTCAGAGAATTAGAAAGAGAAATAAAGTCACTTGTTTGTATGTGTGTGTGTTGGGTTGTACAAGTGTCGTACGTGATGTAGCTATAAACTGATCTTTTTTTTTTTGTTTGAGGAAGTTGTTTTTAGCATTTGTGTCGCACTGAATAGCAGATGAGAGGAAGGGGAAGTGATTCAAACACCGTGTGAACACTTGGTTCACAAACCGTTTAATCATTTTAGAAGAAAAACGCTGGTTTTCTACAAGTATTGCACTCTAAAAAAATCCATACTTTAGAGCAGTGGTTGCCAAACTTTTCAGCTTTTGACCCACAAAATAGTACAAAACAGTAGCAGAGACCTGTGCCCCCAACTATTTTTGGATGATAAACATTTGTATCAGGTCAACTAAACATGGGCATAGTAACAATATTTTTATACTACATTTCTCCATTTTAAATATACTAACCTCACTCCTTTGTAACAACTAAGGCAAAAATGTAATTAATTCAGAAAATCTTTTCAGGACCCCATCTTAATGTTTCGGGACCCCACTATGGGTCCCGACCCCAACTTTGGGAAACACTGCTTTAGAGCAGTGGTTACCTAAGTTGGGGTTGGGACCCTTTTTGTGGGTCACAAAACATCAAGTGAGGGTCCCCAGATGATTTCTAGACATTAATTTAAATTCAAAACTAAAATGCTAATGGGATGTTTTCATCATTCTTGCAATTAAAAAAGTTATCAGAAATGAATAAAATTAGTATTGTAGTTATTAGGTTTGTTTATATTGTTATTATTCCCATGTTTAACAGAGTTATTAGCTAAGTTTGCAAACATAAACAAGTAATATCTGGGGTCACAAGTGCCCGCAACTGTTATTTTGTGTGCCGGAAGCTAAAAGGTTTGAAAACCACTGCTTTAGAGGATTTGTTAAATGTTTCATCAGAGTTTTATAAAAGTGCCTCTTATTCCTGAGGCTCTTTAAACGTTTTGAGCTCCCATCTGCTTAAAAATGCTAATTGCCATTTTAATAAATCTATCATTTTGTTGTAATGTCTTGTATCTCATCATGCATGATGTAAAACATGCAAATTAAAACAAAGTGCAGCTCAGTCAGGAATAGTGTACTTTGGCAAAACAAAAAAAAAAATGCAGCCTTTAGAGCGTAGATATACCTCGTCATAGAAGCACAGCTTAAAGGTCACAGTAAACTGGACTTTATGTATCTGAAGGGTTTTACCAGTTGAAAGTCATGCACTAACTTTAAAATTTTAGTTTTAAGAAAAATACTTCTTCAAACCCGTCCATCAATCATTGAGCCGCAGCTCTTTAACATCCACATGTTCAAGGAAACTTAAGTTCAAATGCCTTTTTTCCAAATTTCCGTAATATGATTTATGGTTTTCTGAAATGTTTTTAAACACCTGATTATGCAAAAATGAAAACAACTGAATAGGACAAGTGTTTGGCAAAATGTGAGCTTTTATGAACATCCTTTAAACCAGATACCCAAACCTGTCAGCTTTTGACCCACAAAATAACAGCAGGCCTGGGCCCCCAATTATTTTTGACTGATAAATATTGGTATCTGGTCAAATAAACAATATTTATTATGCTTCTTTCATCTATTTTAATTGCACTAACCTCACACTTACGTAAAGGAAAAAATGTCATTTTAAAAAGTAATTCAGGAGATATTTTCAGGATCCCATCTTGATGTTTTGGGACCCGACTACTATAAACCAATCAAGTACTGTGAAAATAAATCCTGAAAACTTACCTTAAAACCATTGCAAACATGTCCTTGAAAAATTGGTTATTTTCCAGATTGGTTTAGAAAAATAACATCTTTATTAAAGTGGAGCTGAAACGTATATTTTCAAGTTGAGACAAACACAACCAACCTGTAGATGACAATTTTTTTTATACTTCAAATGTTCAGATGTTCTGCTCCACTAATTGTTTATCATAAGCTGATTTGTGTTTGGCTTTGTAACAGCTGAAACATTACATTTTATATACAATCCACTACAGTCAGCAGCTAAAGCTATAATCACCCAGCTGAACGTGATATTAACCAGGAAAAATCCCTTCACCCATCCATTCACTCGGCACACAGGTACAATAAGAGCTTTGTGTTCAGAGTAGGTTCAAAACCCACAGATTGCACATCATCACTGAAGACAACTTCACATGAAAATAATGGTTGCACATGTAACGCTATCATGTCAAACATGCAGCAGAAAAACACAAACATTGGGTTGAAACCACACGGTTAACACTTGAAAACATGACAGAGCCATCTGAAAGCGCGGCATCGATCGGACCGGTCTCTGCTCCTCCACCACCTCTGGGCAGGGAGAAAGTTTGGAGATAAAGTGGATTTCAGACGCAGACGTCGTGGTTAAACGCTCTGAAAGTCCGTCCACACAGGTCTGTGTGGCAGCGAGTCCATCCAGGAGACAGGATGAAGAGGAGAGGTCACCACTGGGTTCCAGCGCAGGCATCAGAGGTGAGGGGGGACGGTCTGCAGGGCGTCCTCCGTCGTACGGTGGATGTCCACGTTCTGCAAGGAGGAGCGGAGCTGGGTCAGACGGTTTGGTAACATGAAGTCAAAGCCCTGCATCTGACCTGCATCTACTGGTAAACATCAGCTGAAGAAACACTGATGGTCAGTGCAACTCCTGTTTGGCTTTTTTTTTTTTTTTACCTTTCAGCTAAAATGTAACTGGTAGACTCACCTTTTTGTATTTTTTCATTGCCAAAAGAAGTTTAAATTGAACATATCCTGCTTTTAAATCCTTTTTCACATTTAAATCAGTCAGTTGGGGTCTGTATAAAGTGGAAAAGCAATGCTTTGGTCTGAATTCTCCCTTATTGTAACTCCACAAGCCCCTCTTCTGAGGTACAGTATGTCAGATCAACTCGTTTTGAGGCTGTCTCTTTAAATCCAAATGACACGCTTCAGACTCCGCCCCCACTCCAGCTTCAGACCAGTTTATTCTAGTTTCATAGAGGGACTTATGGTTAGCTAGCTGTGCAGAACTGTTTTATTTACAAAATAAAAGATGTCAACAACAGAAGACCTGTCCATCCAGACTTACATGTTGGAGCAAGAGCCAGGGGAGAATGAAGACCACCAACTTGTAGTTTAATTTCGTACCTTATTTAGAGTTTCCATCGCGAATACTCTGATGTAATAGTTAAGAAAATGTCACCAATATGTCCCCTTTAATATCCATTTTTTTGATGCTGCTTGTGCTTTTGTATTTATTGCCTTATTTAGATGAAGTGCCAAGACTAAAGCCAGCTCACAGCTGTAGACTTGGAGCAGACAGGAGTCCGTGTTCGACACTGTGAGGGTTTGTTTGGGCTGATGAACTCTGGGGGTTCAGCTCAGAGGAATGAGTCTTCAGCCTGACAGCAGGAGAAACAGGAAGGACCATGCTGGAAATTAAAGTACAAATATGATCTTTTCTCATCTCCACAGGTTTGTTTTCAGTGTTTTATGTGAAGCTGCTCTCATGCCAAACTTTCTAAAAATGAAACACAAAAAGAGTGTTTATGAAATGGTTGAGTGGAGTTTATTTAAAACCAGTGAACAGAAACGTGCTGCTCTGACTTCTGATCATTAAATTTWAAATCAGTCGTTACATCAGTACAGTAAATCGGTGCCTCCAGGATTGTCATTTCATAGTGTTACACATCCTAAGAAACTAAAGAGTTGATTTTTAAGCACAACTTTACCGTTTCGTAGTGATTTAAAACCACAGAATAATCAAACAATTTAAAACGGACACTGGTAAAATGAATAAATAATCAGTTCCACAGAATGAGATCAGAGAGAAAAATAAACTGTGCGGTTTAAGCTTCCACAGAAAAAGGTGCTGGTGCTGTCAGGAGTGCAGCGTCGCTTCACAACCACCCTCCGTTCTGCTTCTCATTCATTCCCCAAAAACAGAAGATTGTGCGTGACCAGATTTACAATCGAAAAAAAAAAAAAATCAAAAACTGGATTCCAGTCGATTATTAACACTAAAATCACACCTTTACATATGAATGTAAGAAAACAGAAAGAGCAGTGGAGACAGGTTCACTCAGAGAACACTGTGCGTAACGAAGGACAAAAGATGGAGGGATGGAAGGATGGAGGGGGGGTGAGGGGGAGGGTCTAACTGCCTCACTGGTGAGCTGGCACAGTAATCAAAGCCTCCTCTGACAGCCGAGTCACTTCTACGTTCTGTTCAACGAAAAACAGAGAGAGCACCAGGAATCAAAACACGAGAGGAAACAAGAGAGCCGCTGAAGTTTGGAACCTGGAAAACAAAAACTTTTACAGTTTATTAAAGTTTGTTTTTCACATGGTGAGGTTTTTTTTTTTTTAATCCGTCAACAGCATCTTGAAATGTTGGGGAAAAAAAAGTTTATTCTTGCAGAGTGTACCTGAAGTACATTTTTTAAACAGACTTTAATTAGTAAAAAGCAAATAAAAGCATCTCCAATGTAAACACAACATTTTAAAGGAGACATATCACGCTAAAATCTACTTTTTAACCATTAAATACACTTTGTTGTGTACATGACTCTCTAATTTTCTCTGTTTTCTATCACGTTTTCTGAACTATTACAGCAGTATTGGTGTTGAAAAGACCAAATAAGATGGGGTGTACCAACTACAATTTGGTGGACTTCATTCTCCTCTGGCTCCAACAAGGCTGGATGGACAGGTCTTCTGTTGTTGACACATTTTATTATAAACAAAAATGTTTCTGCGCTGCTATATAGTCATAAACCCCTCTATCAAACTAGAATGGACCACTCTGGAAGCTGGATGAAGCGTCTCGTTTGGATTTAAAGGGATCCCCGATTAGTTGTAACATTAGACTTTATATGATAAACATACTTTAACTGTAAAATAAAGACTGTAAAAATACTGTAGGATGTTTAGTTTTTATAAGTTTTAAATTAAAAGTTTAACAATATGTTACACGGACGGGGCCATTTTATTTACATGCAAAGCATTCTGGGTAAATGATGACGTGCATAGGTCCTCGGTGTGAGCGAGCTATATCCACCCTGAAGGTTAATCTTGGACAATATCTGATGAGCGACTTTTTTAAATGAAACCAGAGAGCGTTGACAGAGAGGAGAAGGTAGAAATGACTCAGTCTGCAACTGAAAATATAGATGGAGGACAACAGAGCTGCTTCATGGAAGAAGAACCCCAGCTTAGCCTTTTAGCTTTAGCCCCGATGCTATCACCATATACAGTATATGCATTAGCTCAGCGCTACACATTCTCCTCTCGTCACTGAGGTCCTCCATCCACATGACAGAGAGGAGAAGGTAGAAATGACTCAGTCTGCAACTGAAAATATGGATGGAGGACCTCAGTTTAGCTTGTTTGTCGCACTAGCGCCAAGCTAATACATATAAGGCAATATAGCGTGAGGGCTAACAGGCTAAGCTGAGGTTCTTCTTCCATGAAGCAGCTCTGTTGTCCTCCATCTATATTTTCAGTTCCAGGCTGAGTCATTTCTACCTTCTCCTCTCTGTCAACACTCTCTGGTTTCATTTAAAAGAGTCGATCATCAGATATTGTCCAAGATTAACCATCAGGGTGGATATAGCTCGTTAGCAGCCTCGCACTGATGACCTATCCACGTCATCATTTACCCAGAATGCTTTGCGTGTAAAAATGGCTCCATCCGTGTTAAAATATATTTTAAAAAATTTACAAAACCAAACAGCCTACACTCTTTTTACACTCTTTATTTTACAGTTAAAATAAATGTTTATCAAATAAAGTCTTTTGTTACAACTAATCAGGGATCCCTTTAAAGAGACAGCATCAAAACGAGTTGATCTGAGACACACCTCAGAAAAGAGGTTAAGTTTAAAGGTTAAACTAGTAATATTATAACTTTAATGTCGTAATATTATGACTTTATTCTCGTAATYTAAAAAAAAAAAAATCTCGTTGTGTGGCCCTAATACTCCGTCGTAGGTCAGGACTGCCTTGAAAAAGAGGTTTTTAATCATAATGGGACTTTCCTGGTTAAATAAAGGAATAAAAACAAATATAAAAAATTATTTTTTTTAATCACATAAACGTTGCTCTGCTTTTTTCTTTGGACCATTCTCTTTAAGCCTTAAAGATGGTTGTGTGTAAAACTCCCAGTCGATCAGCAGTTTTTAAAACACTCACAATACTTAGTTTGAACCTCAGTAGTCATCTTCACCCCGTCTACATGTCTAAAGGCACTGAGTGGTTGTCGTGTGACTGACTGATTAGTATTTGTCTTAAAAAGTGATTTAAGAAGTGTTCCTAAAAGTGTCCGGTTAGTGTTTTTGTACACAGCAGTTTTTGCAGCAACAAACTGCAGTTTGAGAGTGAGTGGACCTGAAGATTTAAAGCCATAAATGTAACAAGTTTTGTTTTTGTTCAATTGTGACCCACTCATAATCTGAAAAAAATAAAGTAAAAAACTTTAAACTGTGCTTTAAAAATCATTCAGAATAACCTGTAAGATGTTTAAATCCTGCAGTGAACAGAAAACACTACTTATACCACCTGACACAACGCAGATAGTGTGTGTGTGTGTGTGTGTGTGTGTGTGTGTGTGTAATACCCACCTCTGGCTTTTCTCGGTGTGTGTTAACAGCCTCCACATTTAAGCTGATGGACTCCACTTTACATCCTGAAAGTAAAGAACACGTTTGATTCGTTCGTTCACGCGACACGAGGGGCTTGTGTTTGTTATTTCAGCTGAAGATGATGCATTTTGCACATTAAACACTCAGCAGGCCTACCGTAGGCCACAGGCGTCAGCTTCAGCACAGTGTGCAGTGGGCACTTCAGGTACGGCAGCTCCGCTGTAAGAAGGAACAGATTGGATACATGAAACCACCAGAACATGGAAATGAAGGAAACTTTCTCTTCACTGCACACAGAACCACTTCAGACATGGGAAAATTCAAACGAAGGCATTGATTTGACCTCATGCATCTTTAAATTAAAATACAGAGTTTATTAGTGTCACATGCAGAGTTGTAAAGTAACTAAGTACAAATACTTTGTTACTGTACTTGAGTAGAATTTTTGGGTATCTTTACTTTATTTGAGTAATTATTTTTCAGCCTACTTTTTACGTCTACTTCTTACATTTTCACACAGTTATCTGTACTTTTTACTTCTTACATTTTTAAAAAAAGACAAGAAGTAGAAAAGTCATTACTTTTATTTCATTTTTGCTTGTTTTCATCCCAGCTGGTAAAAAATAAATACTATCCATATAAACTGTGCCTCCTAGATAGAGTGAATTTAATTGTGGTTGAATGAGACGTATAAATACATAAAATTATGATACTGTATTAGTTTGTACACAAACAAATCATGTCACACTGCAGCAGGACACAGCAGACATATGTAGCCTAGTATAAAGATGCATATATATATTA